TCCCAAGCTCTCAGAGTCGTGAGCCTTAGATGAGTTGATATATAGAAAAGCAGGGCCAGGGATTTAGCTCAGTGGTGCTGCCGCCTGCCTCGCAAGGGCAAGGTCCTGAGTTTGATTCCTGGTATCGGAACTGCCACATAGTGCCTGCCACATAGAACATGTTTAATAAATATTCTGTTCCCTTCTAGTTATGATTAGAGGTTGGAGGAACCTCCAACTTCCAGGAATTAGAACTTCTCAGACTCGTTTCTTCAAGGTGTGGCATCACACAGCCTGTTTCTTGGACAGCTTCTGAAATATTTTGCCACGTAGTAAGATACTTACTGGTGCAAGATGGATATTCTTTATTACAGGAAGAAACCATTCTCACGCTTTTGTTCTATTAATTTCATCAGAAATGAGTGCTTGACTTTATCAAGTGCTTTTGTGCACTTTGCCTATATTATAGGACTCAAGAGGCAGGGGCCTGGGGCAGTCACGATGTGGGCTTTGGTCAGACAGTCTTTGGAACATGATTCTTCCTGCAGGGTCTGTCAGAGCTTCGATCCCTCACCTATGAAGGGTGCTCGTGTGCACTCCTGCAGAGTGAGAGGGACGAAGTGTGGGGAGAACGCCCAGGAGTGGCTTTCATTCCCGTCACAGTTGATTTTGTCCACATACCCAGGCTAATTTCTTCGTAAGTTTAAGTGAGATGAGCCCAGAGAGTTTCCCATGTTTTTCTGCTCCCTAACTTCATTTATGTTTTGTAAGAATTATTTACTCTTTAAAATTTTGAAATAATTCATTTGCAAAACCATTTGGAACAGATTTGGGGTGTGACAACTCTATTATGTTTTGTATTGGTTTTTTTTTTTTGGTACCAGGGATCGAACTAGGGGCCTTGCACTTGTGAGACAGGTGGCAGAACTGAGCTAAATACCTGGCCCAAATTTTAAAATAAGAATATCTATCATTTACTATGTACTTCGTACTACATTCCAAACGTGATAAGAATTATTTTACACACTTTATCATTCTCAGAAGCAAGTATCATTTCTATTTTCCTTATTTAATCCTGAATTGCTAAATTCGCCAGGCTGGGCTCAAACTTGGAACCCTCCTGCCTCAGCCTGCCAGGGTGTTGGGATTACCGGTTTGTACCACCATGCCAAATAGTTCCTATCGTGCATATAAGGAGACTGAAGCTTTGAGAAGTTAAATAGGATCATGCAAATATTCTTTACCAAGCTTCATTCTTATTGGTCTGATCTGGTTTGGGTGTTTTCTGTCCTTATGAAATCAGTTTCGCTAATTCATATATGCTAGGAAAATATTGCTTTTTATTGAGATTTCAGCAATCTTAGTAGTCTCACAATTTTTTACCTCTCCTGTTTCTGTGGCGAAATTCCCTGACTTATTTGCAATGCATGCTTTTCTTGGTCATTTAAAACTACATATTTAATCAGGGAGAAAAGCATCGTAAGGTGGAGGGTAGGAGAAGGTGACGATACCATGCAGTAGCGTGAAGATCGTTTTCTCCAGAAGTCTTCCGTTTCCACCTATTTTTGTTTTCCTTTTGCTTCTCCCCCACATCAACATTTAAAGAGGAAAACACTGTGGGGCTAGAAAGAGGCTTAGGAACACTGTTGCGCTTCCTAATTCACTTCTGCCTGTCCCCGGCCAGGTGGTTCGCAGATGGCAGAGCCAGAGGAGCCAGGCCCCACCAGACTGTTCTGGTTTTTTTCTGTTCTGCCAAGGTTAGCTTTAGAGACAATGCATTAATTTTAAAAGATTGATAGTCAGTGAAAGGGTTGTGATTCCTTTAATCCGTATGATTTTCATAGGATGTCTCTACTACGACCCCATTTTAAGCCATTCTTTGTAGAATTCAGCCAGCCAGACAAAACGAGGATCAGGCAGAAAGGGGACCTCTTCTTCTTCCACCTCTGACACTGGGCTGCACCACGGGGAGGGCCGTGAGAATAACATAATTACCTGACACGGGTCGCTTCCCACTTGTCTGGGGCACACACGTGCACGTGTGTGTGTGTGTGTGTGCGTGCATGCGTGTGTGTAAATGAGCAGAAGTTCCTGCCCACTGCCTCCTCAGCAGTTTGCAATTAGACCTCAAGAAACAACCTGCTCATGGCAGTTAGGGGGCACTTGCCACTTCAATAACGACATCTGTCATCATTTTCCCACCTCATCCTGTTCTGCATCTTATCTCCAAGCTATATTCAAAACAAATGTCCACATTTCCTGAAATAGAACAACCCATCTTTTGGGCCATGCAGAAATCGAGCCCAGGGCCTTGCACATGGCAAGCAAGAGTTTTACCCTGAGCTTCACCCTCAGGCTCCCCCGACAAGCTAACTTCTCGTAACTCTACCCTGCGCACCATCACGGTGGGAAGTTTTCAGAGTTGAGCCGTCCCTAACAATTATCAAGCCCTTCCCGTGTGCCTGGCATTGTGCACATCTACACATAGCATAAATCCCTGGGCCACCCAGGAACTCTGTGAGGCCAACATTGCCATTGAGGTGCTGTGAAGTTCCACGATTTACATCTAGAAGGGGACAGAACTGGGATCTGTATTTCGGTCTCCTAACTATTCCACTATGTACCGCTCTCGTTTGACATAACTGTTTTACGTCATTGGCCAGTAAAATGCTAGCGTCATACTAAAACGGTAGAAGGAAGTTTAGGGAATATAGCCAAAATAAGGTATTAGTTTTAAAATAGTGGGACATTTATTGCACACAGAGGTTTTCAAGAGGGAGAAAGCTCTCTCCTTCAAGGGGGCATTTAGAAACCTGGGGGTCGTTTGTGGTCGTCTCAGTTGTTAGGCTGACCCGTCACCTTGGGGGTTCCAGAATGCCCTACATCCCGTGGGTACATGACAGTGCTAGATGGCAAGGGCTTGTGGAGTTCCGTGTGTCAGACGCACTGAGAAACACGGGAAGAGTGGAGTGCAGTCTGCCCTCCCTGTCTGCAGGTTCTGTGATTGTGGATTCAAGCAACTGCAAATAGAAAACATTCAAATCACAAATAGTGTCTGTCCTGAAACATGTGCAGACTATTTTTGCCTTGTCATTTTTCCCCAAATAGCCTAATAGAACGACCACCTTCTTTCCCTAGAAATAAAACTTAGCTGGAAAATAATCAGCCTTGGAATCTAGAGATCAGAGAAGCCAGCCCGGTCAGCCTGCCCACCCTCACATGCCAAAGTAGATAGGACTCTGGGAGAGATGCTGCTGGGGCCGGGGGTGGGGATGGTCTGTGTCCACCTGAGTGGAACGCACAGGCAGACGAGTGTGGGTGCTCAGGGAAAAGTGTCCTGACTGACCACGTAGGACGCCGGTGGACGGAGTGGACGTGCTCTGCACCCAGCCTCCTGAGCAGGGAGATGGCTGGACACCAGAGGACAAACGTAACGTGTGCTAAAGGAGAGTCACCAAAAGGAAAAAAATCCCCACGCTTTCACTGAAAGCAACTTGGTCGTGCAAGGCCGCGACCCATCCTGATGGCCGATGCTGGCAGGAGCTGAGAGGCTCTCTGTGTGCTCCAAAATCATGCCTGAAGAGACTTTACTGACCTTGACAGACAGCAAGAGGTTCATATTGGTTAACACAGGTCTCGCTTTAACTTGGTCTTAAACACCCAGCAGAAAAGAATAACCAAAAGAGGCAGTCAATGAACAGGCACTTGTGATAGAGAGACTTTTGAGGTCCGCCCTCCACCTCCCTACAAGGGGCCAGATCTTCAAGTGGTTAACCAGATAACCCGGTCTCAAAAAAGGCCACAACACCTATGTATAACCACCCCCCACTACCTCCCTGTAAGTATCTCAGACTGTTTATGTGTATGTCCCTTTACCCCGCTACTCCAATTCCCATCCCCGTAGATTTTGGCCTGTCTGTCTCAAATACTGGCAATTTATCCACAGTTCTTGGACCCTTCGCTACGGGTCTCCCGTCCCCCACACAAACCGCTAACCTGACCTGCACGGGGCAAAATGGCAACATCACTTGCCTTGCTTGCCCCCTCTTCATCTCAGAAGAGCGCCCCGTCTGCCTGTCCAGCGGCCTGTGCTTCATACATGTAACCAAGAGGCATTCCGATGCCACAGTCAGTCTGACGTTTTCTGTTACATATCCTTCCTTGGCCCTCTCCTGACCATTTATGCAGAAGCCCAGAAGTCTAAACAAGTTCTCCCACAGACCACAATCAGGACAAGGGCAGCTCCCCAGATTCCAGTCCCCTTCTTAACGGGAGTGGGGGTCCTCACTGGGATGGCTACGGGGACAGCAGGCATCTCTACATCCACACATTTCTATCAGGCCCTGTCCGTAGAGAGTTTGGAAGACATGGATAAAATAGCCAGTCCTTAAATACAGCCCAAGATCAAATAAATTCTCTAGCAGCAGTTGTGCTACAAAATAGAAGGGCCCTTGACGTGCTGACAGTGGCCCGAGGGGGAACGTGCCAGGTGCCAGGTGAAGAATGCTGTGATTTTGTTAACCAGTCAGGGACTGTTAAAGCAAAGGTTAAAGAATTCCAGTAGCGCATTGAAGAGCGAAAGAGATGATGGAATTCTTGGGGAACAGACCAGAGCTATTCCTGGCTTCCCCAAAGAATGCCTCGGCTACTTCCCTTGTTGACCCACTGGCTTGTATATGTCTTTTAATCACGATAGGGCCCTGTCTGTTTCGCTGCTAAAAATTTCTTGCAGGAAAGCATGAGGGCATTTACCAACCAGTCACGGAACTCGTTGTGGCGGGATATCGGCCAGTGAAGCCGGGGGAAGAAGCCCCCACCTACCCCTGCCCCCACCAGACCCAGGTTTAGCTTCAACCTTCGCCCCTTTGTGAGCTTGAAGAAGAGACCTTGGAGACTGACCTTTTCGCTGCCTGTCTTACACCTCGGGATGGGAAATCTGGGGGGAGGAAAGCAGATGAGCCTTGAGCAGCCGAACGGGGGCCCAGAACCGTGAGTTCTTGTCCGTCACCGTCCCCCTGCAGGTGCCCGAGAGGACCCCACTGGCAGCCCTCTCTCTGGTTCCTCACAGACCTCTGCCTGCTGCTCCTGAAAGAGGCTGAACCCCGCTTCCACCGGCAGCTGCGCAGTCAGAGGCTCAGCATGTTGGCAAGGTGAGCGGCCCAGGGCTGTCCGGAGAGGCAGTGGGATCTGCCCTGAGACACACCCACGCCAGATGGGAGCCTCTGGCTGGGCGGGTGGGTTTGCAGGTGTATCAGTGCCTCTGCGCCGCTGGCTTGGACCCTTCTCCTCTCCCCACAGAGCAATGGAGCTCTGGCACGGCCTAGCCATCGCAGCAGTGTCCCTCCTCCTCCAGGCCTGCCTCCTCGCTGTGACTGGTTACCTGCTCAGCCGGCACATAGGTAACAGCCCGGCCCCTCCTGCTCCCCCTCAGAGCCACCCTCAGCCTGCAGTAGATGACACTCCTTTGGAGCCCTTGAGCGCCCCTTGAAAACTGATCTGAGGACCACTGGGCAGCTCAGCGGCCTCCCTCCCCTGTCACTGGGTGGTGGCCGCTCTAACGGTGGGGTTAAAGTTCCGATGTGGAGGCAGGGGCTCCTTCAGCCCGGCCCTGGTTCCTTTCCTTTCTCAGGCAGAAAGGCCTCTGGCAAAGAATGGCCTTGAGTTACAACAGAAGGAAATTCTGGGAGATTTGTTGAGCTTCCTGGGCTGATTCATGGTGCTGAAGCCCTGTCCTGGGAAAGCGTTCCAATTAGGAAAATGGTGCAGCTTTGGCTACGCTGAAGTCAAGGGAGTGGGCACCATGATGTTTTGAGTAAACATGCAGTAGAAGAAGCCCTTTCCATCCCTTTGTTCATCCACCTGTTCATTCATTCCTTTGACACATTTACTGAGCTCTCAGGCACCAGCCAGCCAGGCTACTTGACAAGAAACAAACCAGAGATTCCTGCCCCGTGGAACTTCTTCTACCCCACGGGACAAGCAAGTCAGGAAGTGTCACACACATATGTTAGGTTGTGAGTGCAAGGGAGGAAATACAAAGCCAAGAAGGCAGGCAGTCCCTGAGGCGCGGGAGCCTCCCTGCGAAGGCGGAGGCCGGAGCGAGCTGGGCACACACAGCAGCAGCAGCAGCAGCGCAATGAAGAGGCTCATAGCTGCAACCAGGAGCCCAAGGGGGCAGGAAGCAGGGGGCCGCCACAGAGGAGAGGGCATGAGGTCACAGGCGGGGGTGCTCAGAGGCTGGGTGAGGCTTTCTCAAGCGAGGACAGGAGGCACCACAAGGTTTGGAGCACAGCAGAGCTGAGATTTGGAAGGATGCCTTGGAAGCTGTGGCAGTGGAGGGCGGGCTCCACGGCCTTGGATTGTGGAGGGGCGTCCTAAGCAGCAGCTGTGACCACCTGCGATGTTGCCCTCTCTGCTGCAGCCAGGCAGAGTGAACAGATGCTCAAAGACGTCAGGCTGCAGGCCCAGGGCTCTCGCCCTGCCCACCAGCCCCTGCCAGCTGCCAAGGAGACCACGGAGACCTGGACGGAGAGAAGCACCCCGGCATCCGTACCCCGATACAAGGGTGAGTCAGCGGCGGGGCCTTGTGCTGAACCTACTGCGCCCTGTTGGGAGCCTCCCTGCGGCAGGGCAGACCTGCGCCATCCTTGCTGAGCAGATCTTGAGCCAGGGCACTCACGCCTCGGGAGTCCAGGCCTCACCAGCCTGCCTTCCCCAGAGGGCATCGTCCCGTACATGGGGAAGGCCCCTGGCTTTGTGGGATGCCCACGTGTGAATGACTGCAGGGGCTCGGAGACTCTGCTCTTCCATCCTCCAGCTAAGGGTGGAGCTAGGATTTCCACCACCCCTGCCTGCCCCAGCGTGGCTGCCGCTGGGCACCTGCATCTCGCTCATCTCAGCCGTCTGTTGATGGCTGGTTTCGGAGCTGGCTCCTCCACGGGGACCCTCCTCATGTCTGGGACCTGCTTGGGCACCTGGCCATTTGCATACATACGTGGCCTAGAGATGGTTCCATCTCTAATCCCTTTTGTAAGAAATACCATTCTTCTGGTTTTGTGCATAGACCGTGGGTCTTATTCCAGCCCTGCCCCTGAAGTGCTGGGGACCAAACCCAGGGCCTCCAGCATGCTAGGCATTCTCTCTACCGCTGAGCCACATCCTTAGCCTTGTTTTTTATCTCAAGGTTTGGGAGACCCAAGGGTCGCTATCGAAACTGTGGCTTGCAGTGGGTGCTTCCCCGCCCAAGGTGGCACTTTTTCCACTGGTTTATCTCTCGACTGACTGATTTGAGTTTGCTCCGTCCTGCTGATTTTATCTTTTTGGCTGCGATAAGGCCTGAGAGTCTGGTAACTGGCGAAGGCTGCTTGCAGGCCTCCGGTGTTTCTCAGTATGAGAAGGCACTGGCCTCCTTCTGACCCCCGGCCACAGAGCTTCGCCCAAGCCTGGCCACAATCAGAGACTGTTCAGCAAGCGGGGACCTCAGAAGTCACAGCTCAACACCCTTGCGTACAGAGGACACAAACCAGGGCACAAAGAGATGGGAGCTGCCTGCAGCCTGGAACCCGCGCCTGGGACATGCGGGGCCAGAGCGCTTGGCCCTGGGCCACTTTACCTCAGCTTGTTGCTGCTGGCTTCTCCTGGCGCACGTCCTCCCCGGCACTGGAAAGCCTGTTGTGCTTTGATTAGTTTTAGGCAGAGCTGGTGGAAGCAGCTGGACTCCCTGCCACATCCCTGCCCGACGTCAGAGGCCCTCTTGCCCGCCACCCTTTCTCTGCTCTGCTCTTTCTTCTTCCTCTCCTCAGGTATCTGTATCTGTCCTGCTTCCTCTGTGCTTTCATTCTCCCTTCCGCTGCCTCCACCCTCTCTTGACACCCTCTGGCTTGCTTTGGAAGAAAAACCACTTCCATCTCTCTCCAGGTGAGAGTGACACATCCTCGGACAGCTCGGACAGCTCGGATGGCAGGGACAGCTCACCTCCCACCTGCCAGGTAAGGACAATCACATGATCCCAGCCTCCATGTGCAGCCTGGGGCCCCTGCCGTGAAGCAGGGAACTCAAGCCACACCAAAGAAAGGAGAGCCTGGCCCAGCTTACAGCCTCCCCGGGAGGGCGTCGTGCCCCCCACATTCCCTTATCTGGGCGGCCCTGGACCTCCTAAGCAGAGCGGGCTGTTCAGACTGTGAAAGTGCAGACCCCCGTCATGAGGCCAAGTCTGCGCTGGATCCTGCCCCGAGTCTGCATCTTCCCTTCCCACCCACTAAATCCCACCCTCGCGTCCTGGAACCCCTTTCCTGCAGAAAGTGGGACACAGCCATTAGCAGCAGAGCCCTGGCCTTGCTCTCAGACACAGCCCCCGGGTTCCCCACCAAGCCTCAGCGAGCCTCTCCGAGCCAGAGCTCAGTCCTGGGGCCCCGCTCCTCCGAGCACGGCGAGCTCCTTGTCCCACACGCCTCTGCTTTCTCCCCAGGTCAGCAAGGGTGTGAATTACACGCAAGTGGTCTTCTCGACCCCTGGAGGTCTAAGCAGGGGATCTGCCCTGGACTATGAGAACATGAAGGACACCACAGACTATGTCAATGTCAACCCAAAAAGCCCCAAGCCTAATTCCTGGACTTTTTCAAACCCTGCCGTCTCTGAGCCGGTGGAGTACACTCAAGTGGTTATATGAATTCTAGGTTTTTTTTTTAAAAAAAATAAGGTACAATTCTCTATTGATTCTTGCATAATAATTCCTTTAAACTAAAAAAAATATGTATAGGGGAAAAAAAGGTCTGGGCCCCAACAAGAAGGCTCCAGACCAGATGTTAGGAAGAACTCGCAAGCAAGGTTTGAAAACCTTGGCAACTACAGGAGAGAAAAGGGGGAGGTCTTTATAAAAGTTTTAATCAGCGCCAGTGAAGTTCCCTTTGGTGATCTTAAGGTTAAATGACTTCTTTTTGAGTTCTTTAATTATTTGCAATAAATACTTTTCTTAACGTTTTTAAGTAGAGTTGCAGTACTGGTTCCTCTTCTCCTCTTGCCTAATCCTGCATGTTGGCCCTTTTATCAGTGATGAATTTTTGCTGAATAATCCTGCTTTGCCTTCAGAACTTCAGATAACTCACTTACAAAGCCTATCACCAATCTGTCTTTGAGGTGGTGATTTTTTTTTTTTTATAAACAAAAATGACAAAGAGAATCCTAGTCAGTATCAGCTGGCATCACAATCGGTTATTCCAAGGAAAATATTTCAAATTTTAATACAACCAAATTCAATATCCATTCCTGGGTTGTTGTTTTTTTTTTTGTTTTTTTTTTTAACCAATTGTGAATAAAAAGATCCTTCTTGACTTGATTAGGAATTGTTTATTCCAAATCAGCAGATAGCATATATTTAAGTATAAGATCCTAGACACGGTCCCGTTAAAACAGGAGTGAAGTATGACTGTACACAAGCCCGCTGTTGCCTTATTGTCCCACACTGCTCAAGTGCAGAAGTTCTTATCAGTGCATTAAACAGCAAGCCGGGCACAGTGGTGCATGCTTATAATCCCAGTCATGCAGAAAGCCGAGGTAGGAGGATCACTAGAATCCTAGAGTCTGAGACCAGCCCAGACAACAGTAGTGAGACCCATCTCAAAAACAAATAAAACTAAATAATCAAGAGCTGTCATTACTGAAAGGAGGACAAATTGTTCGTTGCAGATACCCTAGCCCTAGAAAGCTACTGGGACTTACAATATTGATAATGCTTAGTACGCAGTGATTAGAAATACATTTTTTCCAAAAGCAAAGTAAGACATGAAATGCAAAAAAAGGTTCATGATAGGTAAGCAACCGCACCCCCAAAAATAAAACCTTGGGAACATTCCTGGCCAAATCCAAATCCAGATCCGTGCTGCAAGGGTCTCAGAGAGCTCCATAGCTGTGCCCCATCTGCCAGCTGTAGGTGACATCTGTGCCCTGGGGCTGTGAGCCACTGGTGGCCTTCACCTGCCCAGTCTTCTTCTCCCAGCTCTGGTTTGGATTTCAGCATCTGGAAAATTCTGCCCGCCTATTTGCCCTCACCACCACCACTACCTTTCAGCTACCATTGTTACTTCCCCGCTTGAAAGTTTTCACTTAAGGGAGAAAGAATGACCAGGGAGCCAGAACAAGGAGTAAACATTAATAATAATAGCGCTGTCCTTGCAGCAAGAAATGAAATTCTACTTCCTGTTGATCTAAGGCTAAAGAAATTCAAGAGTGTGCTGAAAAGGGTTAGACAAGTTCCACCCAAGAGAGAGTGTGGGGACATTGCCACAGCTGCTGCGCAGGGCAGCAGGGGCCGAGAGGAGAGTTAAAGCCTGATGGGAACACTTGGCCATCGGAGATCATCAGCATGGAGGTAAGACACTTGTGACCTAGTGCGGGGACAGGAAAGAACCGGAGAACATGTACAGAACAGCAGGTAACAGGGGGATCAATACCGGGAAATGATTAGGCAGACTTATGCAGAAATCTTCCAGTTAGAGGTTATTTTAACTGTGGCATCGAAAGGAGTGTGGAAAGTCATCCCTCCTTATAGAAAAGGCAGGAGGAAAGCAAACAGGCCTGCCGCAGTGCAGACTCCCAGGAACCCTGGAGGGCTGTCCGGGCTTGAACAGTGTGCAGAAAAGTCTATCTGGACTCAGAGCATGCCGGTGCTCAGGAGCAGGGAGTGGATGCCAGAGAGTCCGGGGCTGTAGGGTGCCACAGACTACCTGAGTGAGGTCCCTGATGACAGCATTTTGTAGCAAACCCGACACAGAGGGCAACACTAGCAGCCACCCTACTGTTTATCAGGTGCAGGCACTCGGCGAGCACTGTTTAAAAATTGCATTGATTGAGAACGTGACTTGACCACACGACTCCCACAGTTTCGAGGTTCCAAGGTGCAGATGACTCCTCAGATGCTGTGAAGAGGAAAGTGGGGCTGATTTTGCCTCCTAAGGGTTTTGAGCTAATAAGCTGATGATGCGGGCTAGCTAACAATTTAAACAACAGTAGTTCCCGGTATCTGTGGGAGACACTTCCACGACGCCCAGTAGTTGCCTAAAACTATGGACAGTACCAAAGCCTGTGTGTGCTATTTTTTCCTATATATCCATATATACCTATGAAAAGTTTAATTTATAAATTAGTGAGAAATTAACAATAGGAATCTCTAATTAAACAATTTTAACAATGTACTATAATAAGTTATGTGGCAAAGGTCTCTCTCACGCATGTGACACTGTGACAGTTAATCTGATAACCAGGGCAGCTACTGAGTGACTACTGGGTGGGTAGCATATATAGCATGGATACACTGGACAGAGACATGATCCATGTTGCAGACAGGAGAGAGCAGGATGGTGCAGGCTTTCATCACACTACTCATGAAGGTGAGCAATTTAAAATTATGAACTATGAATAATTATAATAATTTAGAACTTATGAATTAGGGAGGACCACTGTAATCCTTGAAGCCATCTCCAGCCATGTTGCTGCAATAAAATGCCCTGCATTTCTAATATTTCCATGCATTTAGAGGATTGGCTCCATACATCTATGTATAGTTGCCTGGATATGTAATCTCCTTTTGAGGAACAGTTTCCAGTTTGATGAAGTTATGTTTTGCCATGTTACTTATCACTGGTTTCTCCAGGGAACCACTGTGCTGATCCACTCTGGATTTCCCCAGGGGTGAGGACTGGATAAAAATCTCCCCAAATTACCTGATAATAAGACAGAAACTAATTTGCTAGTGCCAACCAGTAGATGGTTGATTAACTGCCATCAGTGATCTGGGAATCTAGACCACAGTGAATGTGACTTGTCTTTAATGAATTTTTGGGGGGCGGGGTACTGTGGATTGAACTCACGTCCTTGAGCTTGCAAGGCAGGCAGTGGAACCACTGAGCTAAATCCCCGGCCCTTGTCTTTAGTGAATTCCTAAAGAGAACAAGCACTGATATGGGGGCTGTACCACAATTCCCTGTCTTCTTAACCACCCGGACCTACTTGGGTGATGAGGGGCTATGTTATGTTCAACTTCATTAGGGATTTTGCTCCAGGGATCAAGATCACTGGGCTCAGAGGGACTCTCAAAAGACACATTCCCTCCTTCTCTAATCCAGGACACAGAAAAGCAGCTCTGGCTCATCTGGCTTTCTGAGACTCACACACAAGTCTCGCTGCCTTTCAGGCTGGAATTGCTACCCTCCATCCTTCATTCTGCTCGGCCCCTCCTGTTCTTTGTCCTTGCCAAGTACACCAGCTTCAAGAGAAGGAAGCAGTGTCTGGGTATCTCAGGAGAGCTGTGTCAAATGAGGGACTATGACTCTGTAAGAGGAAGGCTCCAGGCCCCGCAGGAGAGGTGGAGTGTACACGATGAATATCGGCTTATTTGGCAGGAGAAGGGGCTTCATCCTGATTCTTAGCCAAAGCCGCCCAGTCCACCCTGGGCCGACAGTGTGGCACTTTTAGCTCTACACTGCCACCTTGTGGCCCCAGAGCAAACTTGGAGACCCTTCATGTTTCCCATTTGAGTCAGACTCGGCTCTGGAGAAGGGGTCCCACCCCACCCCCCTTGCTCAGGAAGATCACAATTTAATTTATCTTATTCAACCCACTACCATTGGCCCTAGGACACAAGCCCACAAATTTCCTGGATGTTAAATAATTTTATTGATCCATTTCAACCACGTCTCGGGGTTCCTCACCCAGGAGCGAACTGCTGCTGCCTGGGCTGAATCTGTAGCCCCTTGACAGAGAAAAATGCCCTATTTATACACAAAACACAGCGCCTTCTGCACCAAACAACATGCAAAGCCATTCTGAGGAGCCCGTGTTCAACTGACAGACCCCAGCCCCCACCACCCTCTCTGCCCTGTCCGCCCCTCATTCCTCTCCTACAAGAGTTGGAAGGGGGCAAACCACTGTACAGTCCACAGGGTGGGATGGACATCGGAGCTGAGCCCGGCCCGGGGGTGCCTTCGCGCGGTTCTGCCAGGGGTAGCTGTCTGAAATGGGACCAACACGGAGCCGCCTCTGGCTTCTCTCCGGGCCTCCCTTCTTCCCCTCAGGCCTGCCCACTGGCCCAGAATGTCCACAGGAGCTTCCCACTGTGCTGCGAACGCTGTCATCCTTAGATCCAAACAAGACCCAGCATCCCCTCCAGGAGCTCCCCAGAATAAACTCCCTGGGCCGGAAGCCCTGCATCAGACACATCATGGGGCAGAATCAGCTCTCTGAAAGGGCAAGTACAGCCCTGTGTGGGAGGAACACGGGCCCTCAAAGCCACCCCACAAGTAAACTCCCCTGTGCAGTACAAAGCAGAGAATACAGCAGCAGGAAGATGGGGTGCGACCGAAGGGAAAGATGAGATAAAAGAGCTTTAGTCAACCTTGATCCTGGACTTTAGCTTTTCCTCCCTGAACTACAGACTCCTGTAGGCCCCGGGCCTTGGTACCACCCACCAGACAGGCCATTAATGACGCCTCTCTGCCGTCAGTAGAGAGTTCTATAGCCTAGGTCCTAAGTCCTCTGACCAGTGGCATCACTCCTACTTAGTAAAAGAGGGGAGTGCTGCTCAGAGAAATTGGATAACTTGCTAAGACGCAGGCGGAAAAGGTGCAAACCAAGTCTCGAGGGAGCACTAGCGGGGTCCCTTCTACCTCCCAGTCATCACAATGACAAGATGCTTACTTAGTACCCACCTACTACAGAAATTGGTGCCAGGAACTGAGTCCAAAGACAGGGTGTGGGCTGGGGAAGGAGTGGATGGGGAAACTCGGGTAAGCAGGGGACGGAGCTACTTCTGCTCTGGCTGGCTCGGAGGCTCCTGAGTCCCACTCTGCCCGGCAGTGGACAGGGGACAGTGGCTGGGTATTGGGGACGCCTTGAGCAACAGAGCCCAGGGAGGGGAGATGGGGTCCTTTCATCAGCGAGCCGCGGTCCCCGGAGGGACTGGGTCCCGCGCTCCTGCTCTCAGCACTGAAGGCTCAGGATGTTCTACTCCCTCACAACGCTTGGTGCTTTTCTTTTCATGAAGCCTCTGAGAGCTGAGTCGCCCTTAAAGGAGAGTGACCGCCATGTCACCCTTGTGCCCCGAGGTTTCCCTGGGTGGGCAGAGTGAGCTGGGTCCCTCGGACGCTCTTCACTGGAGGAGCGATTCTGTATGTTGGCGAACTCGAGGGGCCACAAACCACCTTTACGTCCACAGCTCTTCCTGACCCCCAGCGGATGGCAAGGAGAAGCCGCCCTCCCTGCCTTTTGGCCAACGCTCTTCCCCCTGGAGATGAGGGGGAGCAGGTCAAGGCCCCAGTTCCACCGCACTCTGCTGTCTCTCTCCAGCCTTGGAGGAGGAGCTGGGATCACAGAGCCGAGGGTGGACGTGGACAGCAGGGCTGTGGCCGGCCCCTTGGTACCAGAACTGAGCGAAAGGGTGGAAACGTCACTGTCGGGGAAAATGCAACAATTCTTCTCAGCTTGTGGGTTAGAACAGCCTCTGCGTTTCTCTACTCGAATATGACTGTCCATTTTGCACAATCGTAAGAGGCCGGAGCTGAGAAAGAGGTTCTTCCCAAGCTAGAGTTGAGGGGCAAATCCTGGGCTCCTGCCTCCGTCCCAGGGCCCAGCGGATTCACAGTGGAAACTCCACCAGGCCCTGGGATCACCGAGCCATTGTCACGGCTTCTCAACGGCGCGTCTTGTCTGTCCAGCAGCCCAGGAGCGGTGGCGAGCCCGTGCCCCCAGACTTCTCCCTGCTCTCAAAGTTACCGCAACTGTTTCTCCTCTTCCGCCCCACACCCATCCCCAGTGGGCGATGCCACCGTGGATGACGAACACTTGTCCCTGCCACCCAGCCTGCGACAGGAGGGACAGGAAGATCTGCTGTCTACCGAGCGCACGTCTCCGCCGTCCATCCCCTTCCAGGGACAGCAGCTGGAGCGGGCGCAGCCTGCGTTCCTGCGTGCTTTTCCTCACTAGACCTCTTCCGGCCGGGCGTGGGGTCGCACCCTGAGAAGCTGAAGCACAGGGATTCCAAGTGTGAACCCAGTCTAGGAAACTTAGCAACTTAATGAGACCTTGTTAAAAAAAAAAAAAGGACTGGGATGTAGCTCAGGGCAAAGATCCTGGGTTCAATTTTAACCCCACCCAACAAAATCTCGGGTCCTCTTCAAGGTTTTTCACTTTTCCCTTCTCCCGGTTGGGCTGGGATGCGCTGTTTGGGTTGGAGTGGGGACAAGTGACCAAGGCAGGAGACCTGATCTGGGGTAACCCAAGTTCCTCCCCAGAGCTGCCTCCGGCTGGGCACCCCATCTCCCGGCTGGGTGAGTTCTCAGGACCAGGGTGCTGGGCCTCTGACTCTCCTGACTCTGAGTCTTCACACCAGGGGCGGCTGTGGCACCAAAGGCAGGGACGGCCACTGTGGCCCCTTCGCCTCACACCTGCACCCAGGAAGGAGGGAAGGACCTCCGCTCGCCGTGGGGCAGAGCCAGATGCCGGGCATCTGCCCTAAAAGGTGCTAGTCGCAGTGGTGCCCTCACCACCTTCCCGCTCTGAGAACCTCAGTGACCCTGCAGGCCCAGGCCTCCCGCCCAGGCTGAAGCGAAGGCTGAGGGTGGGCGGGCAGCTGGAGCGGGTCAGCAGCATGGTGCGGCGGCTGGACAGGCTGCCGCTGGAGAGCTGTCTGTGGAGCTGGGGCCCGGCGCCCTGGCAGCAGGCCAGACCGCGCAGGCACCGTGGCAGCAGGCGGCGGTTGAAACCCAGGTAGATCCAGGGGTTGCAGCAGCTGCTGAGGTTGCCCAGGAGCATGGAGATGGTGAAAGCCACATTGGTGGAATCTAGCAAAAGAGAGGCACAGGAAACCCCAGGATGACGCGGGAGACAGGCAGCCCTTGCGGGACAGGCGCACACCAGGTCCCAGGGAAGTGAAGGGCTTCGCTAACAGTCAGGATTGCAGCTGTGGCTTGGACCTGGGTCCCGGACTCTAGAGCTTCACCCTGCTGAATTTTTGGTTTGTTTTTATTTTGTAACTACGAGGAAAGGGGAGGAGCTGTTCCAGGTGAATTAAGGTTACACGTTGTCAGGACTAGAACCAGCCCACATGGGAGAAACTGGTTGTGTTCTAGAATCTAGACCACGAATCCCCAAACAGATTCAGACCCAGGGTGAGACACATCTATCAAACACTCAGAAAAAGTAACCAAGGTCCAGTCCCTTGGACCCCTCCAATGTCATAGATCGTGGCCTTGCATTACTGTCTGGATTCTGTCCTCCCTCGCCTTTGGGGCAATCCACCCATCCTGTCAGTGTCACTGAACACGTGAGCACTTGTTCACTTCTAGATCCAGGGTTCTGGGCAGGATCGTGGGGTTGGAAGAGACAGGAGACCTGGGCTGTACTCCGCATTTTGCCATTCCCCGCTGTGTGGCCTCGGGCAAGTCAAGGCCCCTCTCTGAGCCTGTTTCCTCACTGATATAAGGAAGCGCTGGAGTGGACTGACCGGTAGTAACTGTTAAGCACATCCTGGTGCGGAAGGGAGGGCGTCAAGAGCCCGTTCCTGGGCCACAGACTGTCATCCAACCCGGATGGTCTGAAAATCCCTCTTGGTTCTGTCATCCTTTGATCCCAGTTCTAGAAAACCGGAAGTTGTTTGGGCAAACCTGCCCCTGCACCGGTGTCACGCAGTGCTTTAAAACTGTCGCACAGGTCACCAGAATGGAAAAGTCAGGACGACGCATGGCACTGGTGGGCTAGGTGGAAACTGCTACTCCAGTCATTTGGGACGGCGCTACAGTCTGAAAGTCTGTCTCCTGGAATGTCTGCTAGAAATGTCACCCCAAAGTCACTTGGAGCCATTGGGAGGTGACCAAGTCATGGGGCTGTGACCTCCTGAGGGTAACCGTGGAGTAATGCATTTTGTTGTAAAGGCAAATCTGACTGTCTGGGTTCCCTCCTCCACGAGACACCCTGCACCACCCCAGGACTCTGCAGAACCCCATCCAGCTTCAGAACCTCACCAGCTGCAGCCCCTTGGCCTGGGACTTCCTCGCCTCCAGAACAGTAAGAAATACAGTTCTTACTTTATAAATTACCCAATCTTGGATAGTCTGTTATAGCAACAGAAAATGACCAGTAAGCACCCATTTTCTTAACTGCTTCACCCCTCTGTCACTGGCCCAGCTGAGGCTACAGGCACAGTAGCTCCTGCTGCGACCTTCGCCCTGACTCCCCTGTCTTCTCTCCCCCACCACCCCACATGGGCCACACACTTGCCTTCACCGGGGGCGGTCTCGTCCCACACAGACCACATCTGGACACTGAAGAAGGGCGCCCAGCAAGCGACGTAGGCCAGCACAATGACGAGGGTCATGGTCACGGTGCGGATCCTGGCCCGAGAGAGGGTGCCGGTGCTGCTGACATGGGACAGCAGCCCCTGGGTGGCTGCACTGGGGGCGGAGGGTAAGGGCTTGCACCATGTCCCCCGGCTGCTTCTTTCCACCCTCCCGGCCATCATCTTGACATTCAGGTTCTTGCTGATCTCCCTGCAGATGAGGCTGTAGCACGCTGTGAGCATGGCCACGGGCAGCACAAAGATGGCCATGGTGTTCCACGTGATGTAGGCCCGGGGCCCCCAGGGGAAGCGGAAGTCAGCCCAGCAGTCCAGCACCCCCGATCCCTGGATCACCTCCCGTAAGGAGAAGATGAAGACTTGAGGGAGGCTGAGGATGGCGGCCAGCAGCCAAGGGGTGGCGACCAGCAGGTAGGTGGACTGGCTGGGCCACTGGAGGCTGCGCAGCGGGTGACAGACAGCCAGGTATCGGTCCAGGGTCATGGCCAGCAGCATGTAAGTGGAGGCAAACATGCTGAGCACCTGCAGGTATCTGATGGCCCGGCAGAGGAGGTCGGGGCCCTGGAAGCGGTAGGTGATATCCCAGAGCAGCTGGGGCAGCACCTGGAAGAGGGCCACGCCCAGGTCGGTCAGGGCCAGGTGCAGCATGAACAGGTGCATGCGGGACCGCTTCCGGCCTGGCAGGCCCAGGATCAGCAGCACGGCCAGGTTGCCCCCTGCAGCCAGCGCCAGGACGGTGGTCAGGATGCCAACTTCCACCTTGGCCAGCTCTTCTTCCCGGCCGAGCCAGGGTGTGGTGGCATTGAGGGCAGAGAGGGTGCCTTGTGGGGTGCGAACGGTAGCCCTTGAGGGCTCAAAATCCATGGTGAAGGTCTGCTGGGAGGGAGGAGAAGGATGGAGAGCCATGGTCGCAAGTGGAGGGGTTGATGGGGAGATGGAAGGAGGAGAGAGAGAGGTGACACCAGGGAACAGGCTTGAAAGCGCTAGCAGAGGGTTCAGAAGGACGGGGACAGAGCCGAGGAGAGGGAACAGAACAAGGAGGGAGGAAATGGAGCCGCGTCCTAGGTGGAAGCAGGCAACCCCCAGGGGAAAGGCGGAGCAGGCCCGAGAGCGGGAGCCGAGGAGGCCAGGCTGTGTGGACCAATGAGGCTTCCGGAGAGGCGGGAGAGCCAGGCCCGCTGCCACCGCTCCAGATCGACCCCCAGTTCGCTTCCTCCAAACTTTTCTGGGCGTGCAGAGCGGAGCCCGCAGGAAAGCCCGGACCGTGGCGTCGCCCTCGCCGGCCCTGGCAGCGCCGGCTTTTATGCGGGGTGAGGCTCTGGAGGGTTGGTGGGCCCGAGGAAGGGGCTGCTGGCCTCATGTCCTGACTGCCGGGTGCAGCTCTGTGCTGGGCTGTTTCATGACCTTTGAACTAAGACGAGGCTGAGAGATGATCGAGGGGG